GGCGGGGCGTGAGGGATGTGCGAGTCCGGGCCCGCTCGGCGTTTGTCCGGAGACCGGGCCGCAAAGTCCGGAGGTTTCAGCTGGATGACTTTTGGGTGGAGTCGAAGCGCCGCCCCTCTTCACAGTGTAACCTTGGGCTCCGGAGCTCTCCCCTGGAAGCCCACTGTCGCTCGGGCTCCGTCTGCCCTTGCCTTGTCGTGGTGATGGAGAACTCCATGCAGCACAGGGAAAGTGTTCGCCGCTGGGAGTGCCCGGCACTCGTTGAAATGCCGATTCCCTGGCCCCGACCCCTGATACTTCCACACCTGAGAACGTGCTTGCTCATAGATCCGCTTCAGCCCCCCTTGTCCCTGGCCTTTTTAGGGCTGTGACACCTCCCATTTTCCAGATGAGAAAACTGAGTCAGAGAAGTCCGCTGACTTGCCCAAGGTCGCACAAACCCATTGCTGCCTGTTTTCACCTATCTGTGTTATTTCGAGCAGGGATCTAGATTTTTGTGCGGAATCATTGCTGCTCTTTGATTCAGGGAGGGCTTCCTGAGGGAGGCAGTGGAGGGGGACTGGTGCTGCATGAATCCCTTTACCCAGATGGGCAGGAGCCAGAGACAGACGTCAACAGTTCCCTGCAGAACCTGCTGGTCAGGTGCTAACTGTGGGTCTTCTCCCATGGGATCCTGCTCTTGGAACCCGGATGTCCCCTTCAGCAGTGGTGACCGCAGCTTCTTTGGAAATACTGAGATCACTGATGTCTGTGGCTGGCCCAGTAGGAGCTCAGTGAAACCATTTACTTGAGGGAAGGGGCTGTGTGACCACAGTTGCTCCTTGGAAGCAAAAACAACAAATGGGAAGAAGAGCAGACCCAGTGCTGTCGAGTTCTCTCCCTTACAGGGAGCCTGCCCGGGCGCCCCAATATTCTGCAGAGTAGAAATGAGTGCTGTTGGGTTTGCAATGGCTGCTGGTTTGAGGCTAGCAGCTTGTTGGGCCTTTCTTCTGCTCTGCTTGATGGGTTCAGACTGCCAACCTTCAGGTTAGTAGCCAGTACCAACTCTGCACACCCCCAGGGGCCTTCCTAGAAGGCATTTGGGCCTACAGAGCAATAACCAAACGCAAGGCCCTCCGTTCAAAGCCACCAGCTGCTTCGAGGGAGAAAGATGGGGCTTTCCCCTTGTCAAGAGTGACAGTTGTGGAAACTCGCAGGAAACGTTCTGCCCTGCCCCAGAGGGCCAGCAGTGACTTGGCAACACTGAGCGGATTTTTAGTAGCCGCTCTTCGCCTTCCACGGTGTCTTTTGGGGAAAAACCCTGTGCCCTGCTAGTAATCATAAATAAGGCAATCTCACAATAGAGGGCTGGGAGGGGGGGAGAATACTTTTGGGGGGTAAAAAGTTGCTAAGTCTGGGAGAAATACGCTGCTCCAAGCACAGCTGGCCCTCTGTGGGCGAGTCCTGGCGCTCCGCACAGATGTACACCTTTAGTGAGCCGGCATGCCGTGGGGGGTTGAGTTTGTGGACGCTGGGTTCACTGGCTGGGCGAAATTGGGCCAGCTTCTCAGGCACTGAGCCCCAGTGTTCTCATCTGTCAAGGAGGAGCTAACAGATTTCAGCTTGCGAGCTTGCTGCTGTGCTTGGTGTACTGACCTGCAGCTGCTCAGTAAACGGAATCAGGGCCTAAGTGGGCTCTGAAGGCCCTTCGTCATCCTGGGTGTGGATCTTGTTCTTGGCAGCTGAGTCAGCTCCAACTCCAGGTGCCCCCGCGTACACACACAACACAGCTACATGCTCTCCAGTGATCAGTCACAGTTGGGCCCTTGAGAGCCCTAGGTCTTCAGGAGCGATGTTTTGGAAGTCAGTCGGCAGGCTTTCTTCCTAGTCTACCTTAGTCTAACTCTTTACAGGAGTAGAACATCTTTCTAGTAGTTTCTGTTTTGAACCAAGGCTGACGTCAGCAATGATATCCCTGGTTCCACATCCTCTTCTGAATCTGGCCTGAATTTCCGTCAGCTCCCTGTCAATGTACTGCTAGCACCCTTGTTGGATCATCTTCAGCCAAAAAAGAGGCAGTTCGATTAGTTGTCCAGTGCAAGTCGTTTGTACTGCCTGGGGACTTCTGAGTCTAGAAACGACGCACTGAAACGGCTTCAGCATCATGGCCACAGATGGTGATGTAAGTGAGGTGCGTTGTCTGGGAATCAAACCCAGGTCTCCCCCCAGGGACGGTGAGGGGTCTAGGGGACCACCACAGCCTGATGTGTGCGGGGCAGGGTGGGGTGGGGTGTTGAAATGAGTTTGTGGTTCATGTGGCCTTTTGCTTTAGTTCTCTGGAAATCTGAGAGATTTTTCCTAATCCCTGAGACTTCCTGTAGTATTAAATTAAAAAATTGGCGCTGGAGGAGGGGAAGGGCCAGCCCCCTCCCGCTGCTACTACTATTACTACTACTCGGATTCAGTAATACTACTTCTGGGTTCAGTAATGCACAATTGTACGGTTGAGATATATAAGCATTATATTAAAGTCATTGAGAGCATGAGAAATAATACAGTCAGACATGTTACATGGTACCATTGCTCACCTCAGGCCAGCTTAGTGGTCCACATGGAGTGAGGGGGAAGGGAAGGAGGGAAAGGGAACAAGGGAGAGGGGGAAGAGAGTCAGGGAGGTCAGAGTCCACGAGGTCGGAGTCCGAGTTCCTCTATATTGCTGACCCACACCTATATAACTTTTGGGGGCATGCCAGCCCACTAATTACAGGTAGAGACATACGTCACAGGGAGGGGTTACACTATAGGGTACCTAGTAATGAGAGGGTGGTCTCTGGGTCTCCATAGAAACCATTATCAGTAGGGTGCAAACCCCTCCTACAGGAACCAAGCTAATGGTCCCAAGCTCCAGAGAGAAGTAGTCCATTGTCTCCAGCAGCAGGGAGCAGGCCCAGCCCCGTGGGATGAGACAGCAGTCTGGCAGCAAGTATCTGACTTCCCCCCACAACTTCCCTTTTCCCTAGTTTTCTACTCTAGAGGATTGGTTACTCCTGCCCAGATTGATTGACACCCCCTGAGCAAACTGTAAACAACTTGACATTTGGGCTGGCCCTTGCCTAGTGCCTGGTCCTGCGATTGGTATGCACCTTGCAGGGACTGGTCAGTAGGCCTATGCAGATGAAATTACTAACCCCTACTGTACAAAGGAAGTGTCTGCCACCTACTCAGCCGGGATTGGTCAGGACTGGCTTTGGTGGGAGGGCCAGACCTTAAAATTGACCTGGAGTTTATTTACATATGCAGACAACTCCCTTCCCCTCCCTCCACCCACTCAAAACCAAAAACTCCCTGCAGTAGAGTAGATGGGGACAGGGTAGAACTGCCCCTGTGGGTTTCCAAGACTCACTCCATGGGAGTGAAAAGGCCGTCTCTCCTGAGGAAGGGCTGCTGGTTTCTTACTGCTGACGGTGTAGTTAACAGCCCAGCTCGTTGACAAGGAAGCAGAAAGGAAAAGGCGAGAAGCAGGGAGAGAGGAAGAGGACTTAGGTACTCAATGTGTGGGCCCCAGAGCCAAGCCAGAACTCCAGATCCGGGTTTTTCCTAAGCTGGAGGTAGGAGCCTTGGTGGCAGAGTGGGTTACGTGTTGGCCTACTAACCACAGGGTCAGCAGTTTGAAACCACCAGCCACTCTGCAAGAGAAAGATGAGGCTGTCTGCTCCATCAAGAGTTAGTGTCGGAAACAGGCAGGGGCACTTCTTGCCTGCCCGTAGGGTCACAGTGAGGTGGAACCGACTCCATGGCCGTGAGGGGGCGGGCATGGCTGAAGCTGGGGCCTTCTCTTGACCTGGTTCAGACGCCCCATCTGCCCACCCAGAAAGTCTTTGAGCCAGGAAAGTTAGGAGCTGCAATGCTCTCTGGGTGGTGGCAGGCCTGGCTGTGGGTGTCAAATTCTTGGCTTTAATGGCTTCATGAAAGCCTGGAAACAGCCGAATGATTAAATGCGGGCAATGCGGTTCTCACAGTAACCACGTGTCACCCACTGGGCAGCTGAGAGCCACAGGGGTCGGCAGGACTGTGACTCCCTGAAGCAACTAGGGGAGAAACCACCCTTCTTTTTGCCTACAGTGGTGTCGCTGATCCTTGGGGATCCTTGACCTGTAGCCTCCGTTGTCTCTGCGTCTTTGTCTCTGCCCTTCCCGGGAGGACACCGTTCAGGTTGAAGTCCGGGCTCCCCCCACAGGAAGCCTGGTGGTCCCACAGGTCGGACATTGGGTTCCTAACCACAGGTCGGCCGTCCAAACTCTGCTCCCATAAAGATTTAGAGTCCCAGAAATCCTATAAAACAGTGGTTCTCAGCCTTCCTGATGCCGCGACCCTCTCAGACAGTGCCGCATGTGGTGGTGACCCCCAGCCATCACATGATTTTCGTAGCTAGTTCGTTCATCACTGTCATGTTGCTCCTGTGATGAATCGTCATGTAGATAAATGTCTGGACGGCAGGATGTATTTTTATTGTACAAATTGAACATCATGAAAGCATCGTGTTTCCTCACAAAAACAAGATGTCATTCTATGTTGTGAAATACTTATTTCTAATGACAAATGAATGACACTTTGTCTTGAAGATTGGTGTAGCATGGGTAATAGTCTTCACACCAGGTACTCGTCTGTGGGCGGATGTGGGCGGACCGCCAGGAGACAGATAGAGGAGCGGTGTGTCAGTTCCTAAGACCATCGGAAACAGGTGTCTTCTGATGGTCTTAGGCGACCCCTGTGAGAGGGTCCTTCGACCCCCAAAGGGGTCTCGACCCACCGGTTGAGAACCGCTGCTATGGAAGATCACCTTGAGTTAGAATCCACTTGATGGCGGGGGCTGCTAATGACTTCCGTGGGAGGGCCTGGCTCCACCCTGGCCGGTGCACCTCAGACAGCCACCACCCTGGTATCTGTGGGGACTGCCAGACTGCTGAACCAGTTTCAGTACAGCTTCCAGACTAAGATGGTGTAGGAAGAAAGGCCTGCAGACCTACTTCAGAAATCAGTCAGCGGTCACCAGAGTCCATCTGCTAAGGATCGCTGAGGGCCCAGACAGGGCAACGTTGCCTTCCCTCAGGGGGCCCCCCATGACTCCGGGGTGGATGTGACAGCCCCTAAAACAGCAGATGCCCTTATTCTGAACTTGATACCATCCACTAAGACCTTTCCAAATAAGGTCACTCCCACAGCCACAGGGACACGGGCGTGTCTTTTAGGGCCTACAGGGCAACCCGAGACAGTGGGACTTTAAGGCAGGTAGACCCAGGGAGGACGAGGGCTGGGCTACCAGGCGAGGGAATTGGTGACTGTGGGGGCCAGGCTACGGGGCTGGGACTCGCCCATGTTTGGGTGCCGCTGAAGGGCTCTCAATGAGCTCATGCAGTGTGCTGGGCCTTCCCCTCCTACTGTGTTCCTCCCGCCAGAAACCCCCAAACCAGTTGCAGTCCAGTCAGCCTTGACTCCTGGTGGACCCCATGTGTGTCAGAATAGAACTGCGAAGTATAAGGTTTTTCAATGGCTGAGTCTTTGTCAGATCACCAGGCCTTTCCTCTGAGGCACCTTGGGTGGACATGAAACACCAGCGTCTCAGTGAGCAGCTCTGCACTTAACTGTTGGAGCCACAAGAGATGCCTCAATTCTCAAAACCCCTGAAGTGTTGGATCCAGGCCTCCTGCCTTGCCTCGTCTGGGCCGGGGGGCTGACAGCGGCCCCCCCCCTGTCTTCCCACCCGTTTCAGGCAGCGGAGAAGGAAGAAGAGATGGACGCCCCAGACTCGGCCTCGCGAGTCTTCTGCAGTCGCGTCCTGAGCATGGTCAATGCGGACGACGTCAACGCCATCATCCTGGCCCAGAAGAACATGTGAGTGGGACATGCCACCGCCCACTTAGGCCATAGAATGCAGGCAGTGAGGAGTGAGTGAATTGCCCGCCTAGGGCCAGCACATTCCTCTCTGGCTTGGGGGTGAGGCTTTGGCCCAGGAAGCGGGGCTAAGGCAGGGGGTGCAGCTGTGGACAGCCGAGTGTGAGCCACTGAGGCTTCTATCTCAAGGTCTTGATGGAAGAGGGGGATTTCAGGGTGTCCTAGAGCTGGTGGGTTGGCTTCCTGGCAGGGCTGGGGGTCTGCATATCCGCAGAGCATGGGATCCCTGAAGGGAGCTTCACCCTGTGGCCCGCCCCGCGGAGAAGGGGGGCTGTCATCCATTACAGCTCTGGAGTGGGAGGATGGCCTTCTTGGGGCTTCAGTCTTGGGTCAAAGGGCACTCCTGTGTGAAACAGCACAGGTGTGATTTCCTGACCCCTCTCCCTGAACAAGGGTGCTTAGCATGTCTGGTTCTTCTTTTTTATTATTAAATACTTTTATTGGGGGCTCTTAAAGCTCTCATCACAACCCATACATTCATCCATTGTGTTAAGCACATTTGTACATATGTTGTCATCATCATTTTCAAAGCATTTTCTTTCTACGTGAGCCCTTGGGATCAGCTCCTCATTTTTCCCCTCTCTCTCCCATCTCCCTTCCTCATGAACCCTTGATAAGTCATACATTATTGTTTTCATTTCTTACATCATCCGCTGTCTCCCTTCACCCACTTTTCTGTTGCTCGTCCCCTGGGAGGGGTCATATGCCGATTCCTGTGATCAGTTCCCTCTCCCCCACCTCCCCTTCCCTCGTGGGATCTCCATCCTCATTATTGGTCTTAAGGGGTTTGTCTGCCCTGGATTTCCTGTGTTGCGAGCTCAGTGTACATGTTCTGGTCTAGTCACATTTGTAAGGTAGAATTGGGGTCATTAAAACTATAGAGAGTAAGCATTAAAGAACTATAGGAAAGTTGTATGTTTCATCGGTGCTATATTGCACCCTGACTGGCTTATCTCTTCCTTGTGACCCTTCTGTAAGGGTATGTCCAGTTGTCTACAGATGGGCTCTGGGTGTCCACTCCAAGCCCCTGTCCCCTCTTTCCTGGTTCTTAAGATCACATGGACCTGGGCCTGGGCCCAGGGGTTCCACATAGACCCTGCTGGTCCTTTGGAGTCAGGGGTTGGCCAGAGGGAAGAAACTTGGCCTAGGGGTAGAACAGAAGCAGAGCATGCCTAAAGGGAGGTAATATATATTTGGGTGGGGAGTTGAGGGATGAATAGGAGTTTGTTCACTAGGTGCCTTGAGCAGCACATGTAGTGCTCAACAGAACAGGGTCCTGAAGCAGGAGCAGGTCGGACACACACGAGAGGCTAGGGGCAGCAGCAGCAGCCCTCTCTGCCCCTCCAGGCTGGACCGGTTTGAGAAGACCAATGAGATGCTGCTGAACTTCAATAACCTGTCGAGCGCCCGCCTGCAGCAGATGAACGAGCGCTTCCTGCATCACACGAGGACCCTGGTGGAGATGAAGCGGGACCTGGACAGCATCTTCCGCAGGGTCCGGTGGGTGTTTGCCCAGCCCTGCCCAGCCCTTGGCTCCCCACCGGAGCCTGGCCTTCCTTCTCAGCAGACACCACGCACGCTATTGGGTCCCTGCGCGTGGGTGCACGTGCACACGCACACACGCAGGGAGTCTGCTCATTGCTTTTCCAAGATCTTATTGTGTACCCCCTGGAGCTTTGAGGGAGCTGAGGGGATCCAAACTTGGGGATAAAGACCATGAAGCCTCTGCATTTTATGAAACTTCCCAGCAAGTCACATAGCCCTGGACACGTGATTCAAAGGCAGGAAACAGCAGGCGGAGAAAGCTGTTCCTCTGCTCCCCATACCCGTCCGCCCTGCCCCTGCCCCAGCTCTTTCAAGCACATGCCATGACCTGCTTTTGGGGGTCCTTGCGTTTTCAGTGAGGAGGAAGCATGCATAGCGGGGAATAGTCCCTGGGCACAGGAAGATTTCTGGTGTTCTGTCCCTGTGTTGTTTCTGCCGGTTTCCCCTCAGCCCCAGCGCTGCACCCCCTGGTCACCTTAGATTGATGGGGAAAAGTGTTCTGCTGAGCCAGCTCTGAGCAGAGACTGAGAGACAAGACAGGGCTGGCTAAATCCTTCATGAAAGTACTTTTTTGTAGGGGTAGGTGGGGCGGGGGGCAGCTCAGAAACCAGTGGGCAAGCACAGGTGTGATATTCAGGGGGAAAGCAGAAATCCAAAGGTGTGGCCCATTTATTTGTGTGTGTGTGTGTGTGTGTGTGTGTTTCTGCCCCCAGTGGGGAAGCCAGTTCACCCAGTCACTCCATGGGTAGGAGACTAGTCCTGATGGTGCTTCTGGGAGGGGGACTGGCAGGTTGCAGGTGAGAGTTTTGAAGGTAGAGTAGGAGTTTGCTTGGTAACATGAATGATGGGCCGAGCTCTGTAGGACAAGAGAAGGGCAGGCAAAGACCATGACGTAGAAAGGGCTTGAAGGGTCTGCTCGGGCTGCTGAGATGGGCCAGGGCTCTGAGGAGCCCTTGGTCGCCCTCTGTAAACAACACGGTAGCAAAACTGTGCAAACAGTTGGTTTCGGAAGCAGCAAATGCTCTGCTGGCTTCCCGAGCTGCTGAAACAATCGGCCACATGTGGTGGTGCCAGAGCACTAGAATGGGCCCGTCTCCCAGTCCAGGGCCAGGAATCCAAAACAAGGTGTTAGTCTGGGTTATAGACACTCATGTGTGTAGGAAAGAGCTTTTTACAAAGAGTAATTGTACATTAAGGAAACAGCCCAGCCCAGTCCAGATCAAGCACATAAGTCCGATATTAGCCCCTATGTCCAGTACTTCTGTAAATTCCTCTTCAGACTCACACAATATACATGCAGTGACACCCAGTGCAGGAAGATCACAGGCCAGTGGGCAGAAAGTCTTGTGGATCCAGTGGCAGTGGAAGCATCTTAGTGCTGGCGTGGGTCTCCAGCTCCAAGGCGGTGGCTGCCATCAGCATAGTTCCATGTGGCTTGTCAACAGAAACCTCTCCCAGGGAGTGAGCGAGCTATTTATTGCCTTCATGCCTCCAAATGAGGTCATCAAGCTGCAACCTGATTGACAGGCTGAACTCCACCCCTTCACTCTTACTCATCTCAGTTTGATGATAGATTACGTAACTACCGCACGAAGCCTCAGCTGTGTTGATTCTTTGGGGTCTCTGAGAGGCTCAGAGTCTGATAGCAACCACGTCCTTGGTTCCCCTTGAAGTTTATCAAAGTAACCTCACCTGGCTCCTCCCCTCTGTGTGTGACTCTGGCGCCCTGGCTGTCACCCTTTTATAAGGCAGTACTCAGAATGGGGACCCACCCTGCTTCTGGGTGGCACAAGCAGCTGAGCTCTGCACTAATGGCCAGAAGATTGGTGCTTTGCCTGGGCACAGTCTGGCAGGCTGCACCTGAAGTGTCACAGCCAGTGGGGCAGCTCACGCTGTACGTGTGGCAGACAGACGAAAGTGGTGAACAAGATAACTACTTGGCTCGAGCTGTGGGCCCAGGTGCAGGCGGCTGGGTGTGCAGCTACTAACCCAAAGGTGGGCAGCGTGAATTGGCCCAGAACAACTTTGGCTAAAGGCACACGTGTGCTCCGACACACCTAGGCTTGCCAGGAGTTGGAAGTGGTTCGGGGACTCCGGGATAACCATGTTAATGTCACTAAATGATACTTTCAAAGGTGGCACAGGTGGCCTGCTCCTAGCTACTGACTCAAAGGTTGGCAATTTGAAGCCATGCAGAAAGGCCTGGTGATCACTTAAGATCACACCACTGAGCACTCGCTGGAGCTCTCTCTAGCACACGAGCCACCAGGGGTTGGAGTCCACTTGCTAGCACTGGGCCTGACCTTTTTTAACTTAACATCTTCAGAGAAAGATTGTCTTCTCAACGAGGTCACACAAGAACCGGAGTGAGGACTTCCCCGGGCCTTTGGGAGGGACACAATTCAACTGTAACCTGCTCTCGGTGCACTTCAATGTCCCAAGGGCCAGTACGTGATGGCTGGGGCCACTGCCCTTTGAGCTGCCATGGCCTGGACCCCCCGCCATGTGCCCCATGTTGAGCCTCAGTCCCAGCCCCCAAGGGCCCCAGCTGGGAGGCAGAGAGGCCATTGCTCTGGGGATGGAGAGACAATATCAGGATGAGCCGCATAGGAGCAATTACTGGGGAGTGGGTAGGAGGACCTGCGGATTGGGTGGAAGAAAGGCCCCCAGGGAGCGTGGAAGCAGGTGATGGGTAGATAGTGGGCATCCCCTCGCCTTCCCCAGTGAGGCTCCATGGGGGTGGGGGGCCTGCTGGTGTGGAATGGTAAAGGGAGGGGCCCACTGTAAGCCTAACGCCACAGCGGACAGCCCCACCTCCTGTCATCGCTAGCCTTCATGCTTTCTCCCCCCAGGACCCTGAAAGGGAAGCTGGCTCGGCAGCACCCTGAAGCCTTCAGCCGTAAGTGTCCCCCCGACATTCCTATACCCCCAGTCTGGCTTCTGTGACTGCAGAGACCTGTTCTGATAAGGGTCTCAGGGGCTGATGTCTTCTGGGGAGTGGGTCCAGAGAACAAGGGCTAGGCAGTCCTCTGGGCAGCATGGGTGTCAGGTGGAGGACCCTCCCCAGCAGAAGCCACACACAGGAATTTAAATAAGGCTGAGGACAGCCTTCACCCCTGTGTGTGCCACTCACAGTCAGAGCCAGGCTGTTCCCACTGGAACTCTCCATCCCACTGACGGGCAACTGAGGCCCAGAGAGGGGACGCACGACCAGGACAAGGCAGGGGCAGGACTCGAACTTGTGTCTGTCTGACTTAGACCATCACTCCTCTGTGGTCCCCGTTGTTGAGCTTCAGTTTCCAACATTCGCTGAAAGGGTCGGCAGCTCCCTGTTCCAAGGCTGTTGCCCGTGCTGGGAGCAAAGGGAAAGGGTACAGGGGCAATTGGCAGTGCCACCAGAAGGCCCGGGGACAGAGCAGAGAGATGAGTGTGGCTAGGCAAGCGTGCTGGCCCAGATGAAGTGCACCACCTCCCCTCCACCACCTCCCAACCACCTCAAAAAAGACCTCACATCTGCCAGACCCAGAGTCTGTATTCTCTGCTCTCATCTCCAGGGGGAGGCCTTTCATCTGCTTGGGCCTCAGTTTCCCTCTTGGGTCCGGGAACCCCTGGGTGGCGCAGAGTTAAAAGTGAGTGCTCAGCTGCTAACAGTTCACCCTGAGGGGACCTTGGAAGAAAGGCCTGGTGATCAATTTGTTTAACAGCACTAAAATCTCTAGGGGGCAGCATGGCCCTACGGCCCTATGGCCCTACGCTGACACTTGTCGGATTGCTGAGAGTCACAGTTGACTTCAAGGCAACTGGGTTTTTAAGGTTTGGGGCCAAGTCCTATCCCAAGGGTTGGAGGGGCAGGTGGTGGGTTCATACACCCAGCAAGACCCTCTTGTGTTCTATGGCAAGCAAGACCCTTAAGCTGGCTGGCCATCCTGAGCCGGCTCCTGCCTCCCTCCACCCCCCTCCCCACCTCAGACATCCCGGAGGCAACCCTGCTGGAGGACGAAGATGAGGACCCCATCCCACCCAGCACCACGACCACCATTGCTACCTCGGAGCAGAGCACAGGCTCCTGTGACACGAGCCCAGACCTCATCTCGCTCCCCCTCAGCCCTGGCTTCGAGGACCTGCCCCAGGCCCGGCCCCGCTCCCCCACCATCAACGGGCGCGGCCCCACCGACGATGAGGAGGAGACACCCGGCGAGTAGCCCTGCTCCGGGTTCCCGAGGCTCCTGTCTGACCTCTGGGGTTCCTGGGCATTGGGTTCTGAGGTTGTCTTCCGCCCACCCTTCCTCTTCCTCCTGCATCCATGACCCCCAGCCCACGAGTGTGGCCAACCCTGCTGGGACCCTCCAAAGGGGTGCCAGGGCTTGAGAGCTGCCCAGACCACACTTAGAGACTAACAAAAACTGGAACTCCCTCCTGGAGGCAGAGAACATCAGCTGCCCCAGCCCCACTGACTCGTCTCCCTGTCCCTCTCCTGATGACAGTATCAAATATTTTCTCCAATCTGTATCTTGTCGGGGTGGGACATGGAGATGGGTAGAAGGCTTGAGGTGGAGGCTGGCCACCCCAGAGCACCCCCATTGGCCCCAGCAAGCCTCTCCCGGGACCTCTAGGGGCAAGGTGGGCCCCCTTGGAAAACAGAGTTTCATGGAATATTTTTGTACCCGATGTTTACAGATGCTGTTGGGAAGTTATTAATAAAGTGACTCCATTCCTACAAAACAGGAGGGCTGTACCTGGCAGTGACTTCCTTGGGCCCACATGGCGGACATCAGACAGCTTGGACTGTTACCAGGGAGAGATGAGATGGGCTGCTCTTGGGAATCCTGTGGGGCGGCCACCATAAGCCAACCTCCAGTCACCATCTAGGCCTCTGCACGCGCTGTTCCCACTGCTTGGAACACTGGTTCCTCGCCCACAGCTCCTTGGCCCCTCACTGGGCACATTGCCCGCCCTTAATGGTGGTGGAGCCTGTGCGCCAGTCCATGAAACGCTGCCCAGCCTGTGACTGGTGGCAGGTGGATGATAGTGATCGACAGTTCTCAACGGTTGGTTTTGAAAGTCAGTCACCCTGTTTTCTTTTAGTCCCTCTAACCTAGAAGCTCCGCTGCAACTTAGCCTCTTGGTAACAAGCCTTCACTGCCCGATGATGACAGGCTACCAGAGGGCCCCTGGCTGGAAACCAGCCTGGACCTCCAGACATCCTGCAGGGCAGGCAACTCCTCTACCTACCGGAGCCCCCAATTCCCCCCACCCCCAAAGCAGGGCTGATATCATTGAAGGCGTGTTCCCAGACGTCTGCCCACTATAGATGAGAGTAAACCACTGCCATCGAGTTGCTTCCGACTCAGTTACCTTAATACAGGCCGTAAATACGCAATGGGAACAGGCAGCCCAGTTTTTCTCCCGTGGAGGGGTTAGTAGACTTGAACCATGCACCTTGTGGTTGGCCTAACCCACAGCGCCACCAGACCACCTTTGGTACAGGAGTAGGTGCTCAAATGTTGGAGGACATGACATCTGTCCGGGCCCACGCCGGTCACGTGGAAGCCTTCCGCACGTCCCCCGGATTCACTGCGCTCCCACGCGTTCGCGCCCCCGGTCTCCTAGTCCCGCTGTGGACTCTGAGGAGCCGGGTCCCTCCCCCAAGGCTCCGCTGGAAGCCCGGGCTGGAGCAGCGGAC